ATATTTATAAATATTTCTTTAGACATGTATGATAATATCCTTATACTTGTAAAATTGAAACCTTTGAGTTAGAGAGTATTCACATACTTAAGGCTTTTTGGTATATATCGGCAAATTTCCTTCTATATAACAGTCTTTCATGAAATGGATTTATCATTAGTATACTCAGTCTTTTATATCTATATAAAAGAATCAAATGGAAATTCTAGAAATAGAAAACTGAAATAAAATAATTGGATTGGCTTAAGGGCAAATCAAAAATTACAAAAGTCAATGGACAGCTGAGTCTGCCATTTACATGGAAATACATAGAGCCACGCTGAAAAAGAAAATCTTGAATAAGAACAAAGTTGAAGAACTTAGACTTCAGACTATCAAGATTATAGTAATAAAGATGGTGTGATATTGGTACAAGGATAGAAGAAAGACAAATGGAGCAGAATAGTGAGTCCAGAAGTAGACACACACACATATAAAGGCACCTGATGTAGAATAAAGGTAATATGCAGAGCCATAGAGATGAGATGTTTTGTTCTGTTTAATAGATGATATTGGGACTATAGGATATCCACATGAGGTAAAGAAGTAAATCTTGACCCCCTACCTCACACTATATACAAAAATCAATTCCAGATGAATTATATATCTAAATGGAAAAGACAAAACAATAAAACTTCTAGATGATAATAGAAGAGAATATAAACATGACTTGGAAGAAGCAAAGTTTTCTTAAACAGGACATGAAAAATAGTAATTACTAAGTAGTAGATGATACATCAGACATTTTGAAGATTTAAAACTTTTTTTGAGCCAAAAAATCACTATTCATCATCATCAGTACATACATCCAACAAAAGGCTCATGTCCAAGATAACTAGAAAACTCCAAACAAGTAAGAAAAACAGATAAGCCAATAGAATATGGTTAAGAGAGCTTCACAGAAAGGATGTTAAAGTGACCAATAAGCACACAAAAAGACTCTCCACAGTGCTGGTGACAGAAACATGCAAATTAAAACCACAGTAAGAAACAACTACACATGTACCATAAGAGTTTAATTTTTTTTTAAATGATAAAGATGTAGAGCGACTGTTTTTGAGTACTTACAGTAGTAAACATGTGCCCTAAACCCAGAAATTCCATGCCTACCTATATACCCAACAAAAATAAATACATCTATGCACCAAAAGACATGTAATAGGATGTTCAAAGCAACATTATTCACAGTACTCCAATATTGGGGGAGAAAAAGTCCAACAGCCAAACAAATAAATTGTGATAGACTCATACAGTAGTAAATGGTGCGGGAATAAACATGAACCATCATTGTTACATATAAAAACATGGATGAACCTCACAAGTATCATGTTGAGCCCAGGAAGCTAAACACGAAAGAGTGGATAATACATGATTTCATTTACATAAAGTCCAAAACAGGTGAAGATATTTGATGGTAAATGAGGATAGTGGTTAATTTTTTGGCAATTGTGATTAAGGGTCTGTTTTGGTCACACAGGTATGTTCACTTTGTTGAAATCCACCAAGCTGTATACTTAGGATTTGTGTACTTTTCCATGTTTATATCATGTTTCAGCAAAAATCTTATTTAAAAACAGGTGATACCCCAAGGCCACTGGGTGAACTTTCAGGACCAGCCATTTTATTTATTTTTTAAAGATTTTTATAATGGAGGACATTAGAAGAAGGAAGGGAAAAATGAAGGGGGGGAAATCGGAGGGGGAGATGACCCATGAGAGACTATGGACTCTGAGAAACAAACTGAGGGTTTTAGAGGGGAGGGGGTGGAGAGATGGGTTAGCCAGTGACGGGTATTAAGGAGGGCATGAATTGCATGGAGCACTGGGTTTTATACGCAAACAATGAATCATGGAACACTACATCAAAAACTAATGATGTACTGTATGGTGACTAATATAATAAAAATAAAATTTAAAAAATTTTTTAAAAAGTTTATTTGAGAGAGAGAGTGTACAAGCAGGGGGAGCGGCAGCAGAGGGAAAGGCAGGCTCCCCACTGAGCAGGGAGCCCAACGTGGGGCTCAATCCCACGACCCTGGGATCACGACCTGAGCTGAAGGCAGACGCTTCACCGACTGAGCCACCCAGGAGCCCCAGGCCGCACCATTTTAAAACAAGTCCCTGTGTGTGTCTCCACACCCACAACACAACACTGCCCCCCATCCATCTACGGAAGGCATAAGGGCAAAGTGGTCTGCTGGGCAAGGAGGTTGGAGAGGAGATTGGTCTAGGAGAAGAGACTCTAGGAACTCAATGGTCTGGAGATTCAACTGGGCTCCTTGGCACCTGGGCTAAGGAGAACTGGAATTGGAGAAAAGGGGACAAGCCCTGCTTCCCTGTCTAAAATGGGGGAAAGCTGGGAAGGTAGCACTTCCTCCCTGCATGCCCATCACCAGCTGCCATGGAGTCAGCTGAGCCCGGGTTCTTGCTCCACCACACAGCCATTGGCAAGCAGCCCACCCCAACCCCTCCACCTCCAGAAATGGTTCCAAATCATCATTAGGAAGGTAGCGACCGAAAGGCCACATTCAACACATGGAAAACGATTTAAGGGTGTCAAAATGGAGTAAGAAAATTATCAATTATTTAAACGAGAAAGAGAGAAGGAAAGTGGAGGACTGCCCATAACTCAGAACCAAGACAGACCACAAGACATGCTCTTGTTGAGCCCACACTGTCCTTTACTGAGTTGCTCCTCTAAACCAGTTACACTTGGCCCCCATAGTCCTAAATCTCAGGAAGGGTGTGATCATCTTTTCTTTGGCTCCATAGAATTAGTTTGTTTTCTGCTAGGGACGGGAACTCAGGAGGGTCCTCTGTACTCTTTCCCTGTAGAGGAGTGTATGACACTGTGTTCTCCTCCTGCCCCATGGAGAGATGAAGAGAATGCCATTCCTTGGTAATGAGGGGAACTGGGGAAGGAGACAAGGGCCCGGTCCCTCCTTATGCCAAATGCTCAGAAACAAACACATGCACACTCAACCTTGACTAGGTTTTAGGTGGTTGTATACTGAAACGCTGGTGACGGGATCAACCCAAGAAAGTCAGACGGTGGAAAATCAAGTAATGCGGCCTGAATCTAGCTAGCCACCATATCTCACTGCACCATGGAAGGCAAGATTCCAATCCCAGAGAGGCTTTCCTGCCCACAGTCTGGAGTCACCCTCTCCTTGGACACTGGGACACTCATGGTACTCTTGTCTTCTCTCCCCCTCCTCCTTTGCTAAATCTCTGCCTCTAGCTAGAGTAGATGAGTCCAGAAATGGGAAAGGAAGAACATTACAGGGTAGAGATTCCTCCATTCTAGATGTTGGTGAGCTTTCTCCCCAGGGATGGTGGAAAGCAGGTCAGTTTTGAGTACCCAGAATTCACTGATCCCTTTTCTGCTAACAGCACCCTGATTTCCCTCTGGCAGACCACCCCACTCCTAATACACATGCTTGTGGCAGCACAACTCAATCCTTGGCTCCAGAAACAGAGCACATGATTTTGCTAAACCAACCAGAGCACTGCCCCCCACTGCCATGGTGATTGGTAGAACATAACCCAGTCAGTGTTGAGACACATTGAAACTTCTGGGAAAGAAACCATGTGCCACTGGATCTGAAGTTACAGGAACGTGAAGCTGGAGCTGCTGCAGCCACTTTGTAACCATGTGGAAAGAACCTGTCCAAGTGTGGAAAGGAAAAGGAACTGAGAGGCAGTGAAGGGGAAGTGGGTCCTGTTGAAATTGGTTAGGTATCTGAATCAAACCACACTTGAATCTGAGTCTACCTAGAGCCATCTGGAGGGACATACTCTGTAGTGCTTGCAACAGAAGGATTCGTATCTAGTGTGCCAACTGCCTAAAATAAATTAGAGATCCCTCAAATATGAAGATTAATTTCCTGATAAAACCCTCACCAAGTCTACATGAGAGTTTCCTATTCCTCCTTCTTGACCTCCTCAGCCTTTAATAAAAGAAAGAAATTTTCCATTTCCACCCCCAATCCTCGGCCATTAATTTAACAACAAAGGGCACTGGGTTCAGCCCTCTTTCCTTATTCCAAGATATCTCCCCCAAGTGGATCATGGTAGAGAGGTGGGCAGTCCTGCCAAAACCACAAAAGCCCCCACAAAATAGGTTACCACCACCTCTTCGGTTGAGGTCACCCAACGGTGCACCTCAACAGCCTTGCCCTTATCTCTGCAGTCCCCTCATGTTATTTCCGAACCAGACCGAGTTCTTCAGAAAGCCAGGGAGGCTCTGTGGAAGCACCACAACTTGAGTCGGCCCCATGAGCTTTCACAGCCTGCGTTCCATCACCGGCCTTTTCTCACTGCTGCACGAAAAGGAAGCAGATGATTCTCCTCATGGTGGGGCCACCAGCTCTCTCCTTCCAATCCATTATGCATGGTGTGGGGCCTATAACTCTGCACATGCCATGCTGTTCTGTATAAATAGGGACCATCCATCAGAAATGTCACAGACAGGAAGCCAGTGAAGTTTCTACAACCAATTTACAATCAGAATCTGCCATGAAATGCACACAGAAAATGCCTTAACAGATCGAGAGGATGCGGGATACAAGTTATGCATGGCCAATAGAGTGCTGTTAAATCCAGAGGATGAGGCGTGACGAAGAAAAAGTGGAACATGAACAAAAATGAGGGAACAAATGAAATGCAAGTGGGGTCTACAGTCTCACTGGAAAATGAAAAATAACAGTGTGGCAAATAGAAATGGTGTAACCATGTCCCTTTTTTTTTTTTTTCCCCATTCTGCAAAGTCAGCAAACCAGGGGCACTCTTGCAAATACATGTTCTTCTTGATGCTGAATTTATTACCGCCAGGCTAAAAAGTATAAAAATTGAAGATTTCCATTTAGACAGAAAATAAATTTAACTGAGGGGATAGCCAGACATGTTTTCTAAGTCAGAGCTGCCAACTTCCTTCAACCTTGTCCCGAAAGATTTACTTGCCAGCGTAAAATTTCAGCCTGGGTTTGGTAGTGTGGCTTAATTTTTAGAAGCTTTAAAATGACCTTGGAGGAAAAAGAGGAAGCCTGTCCATTGTCCTCATCATGAACGTCCTGAACATTCAGGTCCCAGGCATCTTTCTTTCTTTCCAAATATGTTGATGCAAAAGAAAGAGATATTTAAATGTTAATATGATCTTCATCAATATGATCATTATCACCATCATGAGGCCAGTCGGTACTTAATGAGAACTGCTTTTATACCAGGAAGAAGAGTGATTTCACATAAAGTGAATACAAATATATGCCCCCTTTACAGATGGTAAAATCTGGACTAAGAGAGGTTTAGTATCAATTAAATGATAGACTCAGATTCCAGCACCTCCTTCAGATGCCAGACCATCAGGAACTCTAGTCACTGAATCTCCTGCCACTAATCAAGGGCATTTATAAGCCCCTCAATGGGCTAGTTACACATTTTCTTCTCAAGTGTCTCTGAAACACCAACATGGCTCCTCCTTAGCCCATTCCTGCAATTGACGAGCTTCCCAGTCATGAATGAATCAAACGAACTTCTAGTAAGCATGTACCACTGATAATAATAGCTAGCTTTACTGAGTGCTAACTATGCCAGACATTGGGCTCATCATTTTATATGGATTATCTCACCCACTTATCTCACTGACCCTACGAAATGTCTACCATGATTGTCCACATTTGACAGGGGAGAAAACTGAGACCCGTACAGGGCTGGTGAGCCCAAGCACATTCATTCAGCAAGAGGCAGACCTGGAAACATTCTGCTCCCATTTTCTCCCGAACCCACAAAGACCAGGCTTTCTCGGCCTCTGCTCACATGAAGCTGTTCTTGCCTCATGACCCATGACCTCCACAGAGCTCAGGCTTATGATCAATGAGTGCTAGCTATCTTCTTCCACTTCATGAGCAGCTTCTGATACACTTGATCAATCTCCCATGCTTAGCATGCAGGCTTCCATGGTCTCCCGTGATTCTTAACTCCTTCCCAGTCACTAGCCGATCCTGCTCAGTCATCTTGCTGGTCCCTCCTCATCTCCTCAACCTTGAAATGTTGGAGAACCTCAGTCCTCACACCTCCTCTCTGCTCTATCCACTCACTCCCCTGGTGGTTTCCTCCAGGCTCAGGGTTTTAAACACTATCAACAGGCTGACAATTCCCAAGTGTGTCCCTCCATCCCAGACTCATCTCCCAAATCCTTAAGGGTATATTCAACTAACATCTAACATAGATATCTTAAACTGGACAGGTCCAAAACAACTCCCCCTGCTCAACTGGCAAAAATCCACCCTCCTGGGGCGCCTGGGTGGCTCAGTCATTAAGCGTCTGCCTTCGGCTCAGGTCATGATCCCAGGGTCCTGGAATCGAGCCCCGAATCAGGCTCCCTCCTCAGTGAGGAGCCTGCTTCTCCCTCTCCCACTCCCCCTGCTTGTGTTCCCTCTCTCGCTGTGTCTCTCTCTGTCAAATAAATAAAATCTTAAAAAAAAAAAAAAATCCACCCTCCAGCCAGTCTATGCTTCTCCCTATACAGCAACTCTGCCCTTGGAGTTGCAGAGAGAGATATCTTGGAGTCATCCTTAAATACCCTCTCTGTCACATCTCATGCACCATCCATCAACAAACCATTTTTGGGTTCCATCTACAAATTATATCATAACTGGGTTATTTCTTACCATTCCACTCACCTGCACCACTTTTCCCTGAGTGATCATGTAGCCTCCTAATTGGCCTCCTGGCTCTACCATCCATCTTCCCCCAAATCTATTCTCCAGAGAGCAGTTGGAGTGGTCGCTTCTTACATTAGCTACCCCAATCAACCATATCTTCTGATATCCGTACTATGCACAGCCCCACGGTGACTCTGGGCTTGGCGATGTCACTTAGCACACGGGGTTGGGGGGCAGGTGGGGGTCCGTGGAAGTTTGGCGCGCCTTCTCCAGGAATGCCACCACCATCTTAGAAGGAAGCCCAACCAGATGTAGCCTCCTTGGATGAAAGACCACATGGAAAGAGAGGGCCAGACGTCCTAGCTGAGCCCGTCCTCCAGCTGAGTGAGCTCAGGTGAAACCAGCAGAAGAATGGCCCTGTCATCCCACACAATTGGTAGAAATAACAGACCACTGTTTTCTTAAGCCACTAGCAACAGACAATAGATCTAGAATGCTTTCAAAGCAAGCCTGCTCAGTTCATTCCTCTGCCCCAAATCCTCTCGCGGCTTCCCATCTAACTCGGAGCAAAACCAGAGTCCTAAACAATGACCGACAAGGCCCCCCCTGCCCCCTTTCTGATGTCATCCCATCACTGCCTCCCTCACTGCAGCCACACCAGCCTCCTCGCTCCTCCTCAAGTTCACCAGGCACCTGCTGCTGCCGCCCCTGATGGGGTGCTCTTTGCCCGGATATTCCCCTGGCCTCCTTTGCTTCCCTGCTGCTAGAGCTGTCTCCCTATGAGCCTATGGAACACAGCCCCTCCCCTTCCCCGTGTCCCAAGTGCACTCGTCACCACTGTACCCTCTGTGTGTTCACTTGGGTGTCTGTTCCCTGGGTTTTCCCAAGTAGGATGAGAGCTCCTTGAAGGCTCTGTCTTTTTTTGTTCTCTGCTATCTCCTAAGTGCCTAGAAGAATGCCTTAACCATGGTAATAATCAACAAATATTTGTTAAAGGAAACAAAGAAATGGAATCCAAGAGTCTAATGCATCTATTCCTAACAAGGATATTATGCTGAATCTCTAAAGAAATTACTCTAGCTAAGTGCTGGAGGGGGACCAAGAAGTTTGACATCCATAAGTGAGTTAGTCTCAACTCCAGTCTGGCTTGGGGTCAGGCCCTGTGGGCCCGACTCCCAGGCAGAGCCCCACCTAAGCCCTGAGCCAGTCCAGGCCTGAGCAGGGAGACTTGCAAAACCCTCACGGTCACATGCAAGGGGCATCTAGAAGGGTCGTGCTGCCTAGGCCTGGTGTCTCGTGTGCCTGGCAAAAGTCTCAAAGACAGGTGTCCCTCCTCCACATTCATGGCTGCCTATCTCCTCCTCCACCCTATGTGGGCTCCTCCATTTGACCCACTTTCCCTAATGAAATACTCATAGGGGACCTACTCTGAGCTAGTTCTGTGCAGTTCTAGGAATACAGCAATGAGCACAGCCTCAAGATACCTGTAAGACAATACATTTTTTTTTTCACCACTGGCCTTTTGGGTGGCATTATTCATTATTTTGTGGGGCTGTCCCATGCATTATAGGATATCTAACATCGTCGGCCACTCAAAATCCAATCATTAGGGATAACCAAAGTTCCCTTGTCCATGTTCAGTGGTTCACAAGGATGTGAAACCCACCCCTGGTGGAGAACCACGAGAATGGGTTGCCCAGTTTGGGTCAAAGCCCTGCCTGCTGCACCCTGTTAGAGCTGTTTACTTGTCTGTCTCTCCAACTTGACACTGAGATCCATCAGGGATGGTACCATGATTCGGTGACCTCTGTGTACCAGCACCCAGCACAGGTGGGCGACAAAGGTGAGTGACACACAGGAGGCTTGAACATGTTCTGCCTGGCTTGGACTTCGCTCCAAATCCCACTCTCCCCGAGGTCGGCCTCTTGATCCCCACAATCCTCCAAACCCTACAGAGCACCCAAAACCATCTTGCCATTCATGCGGCTTTTATCCAAGCTTCAATTAAAATGCTCGCCAAATTCATAGATGAGTGAATGAGTCCTCCTGAGAAGTTCATGATACAGACTAGAGAGAAAGTACAACACGTTCACACTCCCAGGGCAGTGTGTAGAGTGCTACCACAGAGAAACACTGTGGGATGTTTAGGAGCCGAAAGGAGATTCCCTCCTCGGCGCAATAGTGTGAATCAAAAACCTTGGGTTTTCAAATTACAACTCATTCTTTTTTAAAATGATGAAGCATTAAGAATAACTTTTAGAATAACTCTTTCAAAACTATCTCAGAGATCCATCACTGCTCTCCAGCTCTCCACCAGTAAGCAATCTGATTCTCGAGGCTCACATCCACCCCCTGAATAGATTTGTGTGCCTCCAGACATGGAAAATGTGAGCTGGAGTGGCTGGGCACCAAAGATGAAAAGTGAATTTTACATCACAGCGAGAAAATCATTTTCCCAGACGTTACACAAGTCAACAAACAACAATATGCAAGCCTCTGGCACTGGCCTTGTCCAAGGAAATAACTCTTGAATTTAAGGAGAGAAACAGCCCGAGATTGGGGTGAAGTCACCTGTCTAGAAATTGACAAGCCCGGTGACAAAATGTCGGAGCTAAGCTCTAAAGCTTTTCGAGGTTAACAGAAAATGTCTGTATAGATGGCAAACTGCAAGTCGCTGGCCGCTGTAACTTCTCCAAAATGAATAAAAATCCTGTCAATTATAAACGACTGAGCTTGACTTCCATCATAAAAACTGTCAGATGAAAATGAGAAACTTCTTCACAAGCCCAGCATTAAATATGACTTGTCAAATCAGTCGTGTCCTGAGCTTGCCAGTGACAATGAACCCACGGCCTCGTCGTTTGCCTCGAGTGAGCTCTGCAGGGCTGCACGATGAAAATGTGCAAACCCCCGTGGTCTGAAGATTCTGCCTGCCTTGCATGTCTCTCCCGATGAAGGGCCCTTCCTTCCCCTCTGCCTCTGTCAGCCCGCGTGGCTCTCTTTGGGCTGATGACACAGCTCCGCCACGGGTGGGAGGCACGTAGCCAAGCCAGCCCCTCGGGAAGCCCCATCCCCCCAGCGACAGGACTGCCTGGGTTCTTGTCACATGCCTCAAGTCTGCCCCGGGAAGCCAATCCTGGGACTTCTGCTGGAACAACTGGGAAAGGTCTCTCTCATCTCTGGGACTGCTAAGCTGACAGAATGTAACCCGGAGTTTCTGGAAGCCAGTGAGGGGCAGAAGCTGTGTAGGAATAAGGCCAATACAGAGGGAGGCAGAGTTGAGCGCACATTCAGAAGTCCCTGGCCCTGCCCTGACTGCTCAGACCCACCCCTGCTCACTGCCACGAGCCGGTAGATTCTCCCTTTTTTCCTAAGCTGGTTTGATTAGCAACCTGCCTGATGTGATTGCTGAGCTCCCTGTAACTCGACCAGCCCAGCAACAGGTGTGCTCTGACTCAGACTCGCAGGCGAGTTAAGGAACAATAATTCGAAAGTTCTGACGCCTGTACCCATTGCTGATCCCACCGTGGGCCCCAGTGTCAATAATTGCAATTCTGCCCTGTTCATATAACCAAGCTCCTACCTGGTCCCCAGTTGTAGAGCCTGGGTCCTGTCTCATTCCCCTGTGCTTGAATGTTTGCCTTCAGGAGATTTCTACACAGACACAGCTCAGTCTTTGTTGATTCCAAATTGCGTAGAATCCCACCTCAGAAGTAACTGAGGTCCATCGGATGTTTGCTAAAGGTCACGATGACCTCATTGATTATTTATAGCGATGATGCTGGTGTCCTGCCCAAGTCTCCACGAGAGCACATCCCCCTGGAGATGCCTGTGAGTTACTACCAGAGCAGGAAGCAGCTCCTAGAGGCTGATCAAAGCCACCTTCTCTTCTAAGGCAACTGCTGGGTGCAATTCACACTCTTGAGCTCCCTGTGGGGGTCCCACTTCCCCTGAAGCCTACTTTTCTTTTCCTTTTTCTTTTTTTCCAGCTTCATTGACATGTAATTGACATGTAACATTGTATACATTTAAGGTGTTCAAAGGGCAGCTTTGCTACACTCATAGATTGCCAAGTGATTACCACCCCAGACTTAGCTAAGCCTCCAAGTCACATAATTACCATTTCCTTTTTGTGATGGGAACATTGAGGATTTACCCACCTAGCAAGGTTCAAGTAATAAGACAGTACTGTTAACCACAGTCAGCACTCCGTACCTGAGATCCCCACGACCTCATCTTTTAGCTAGAAGTTCGTCCTCCTTGACCACTATCTCTCCATTTCCCCCACCCCCGACCCCTGGAGGCCACCACTCTACAATTTTGATGAGTTCATGAAGCCTTATTTTGTTTTTGGGGTTTTTTGCCTACCTTTTCTTGTTTTGTTTTGTTTTTTTTTAATTTTATTATGTTATGTTAGTCACCATACATTACATCATTTGTTTTTGATGTGGTGATCCACGATCCATTGTTTTTGTATAACACCCAGTGCTCCATGCAGTACGTGCCCTCCTTAATACCCATCACTGGGGGGCACCTGGGTGGCTCAGTTGTTAAGCATCTGCCTTCGGCTCAGGTCGTGATCCCAGGGTCCTGGGATCGAGCCCCGCATCGGGCTCCCTGCTCAGTGGGAAGCCTGCTTCTCCCTCTCCCACTCCCCCTGCTTGTGTTCCCTCTCTCACTGTGTCTCTCTCTGTCAAATAAATAAATAAAATCTTTGAAAAAAAAAATACCCATCACCGGGCTAACCAATCCCCCCACCCCCTCCCCTCTAAAACCCTGTTTCTCAGAGTCCATAGTCTCTCATGGTTCATCTTTCCCTCCAATTCCCACCCCCCCCTCATTTTTCCCTTCCTTCTCCTAATGTCCTCCATGCTATTCCTTATGTTCCACAAATAAGTGAAACCATGTGATAATTTACCTTCTTTTCTTTATCCATCCTCCTTCCCTCATTCCTTCACAGGTCCCTCTTTTGAGCAATCCCTCAGTAAATCGCTTGTGTGAGGCCGTCTCAGACTCGGCTTCCAGGGAACCTGGCCCCAAACACTGATCGAACAGTGCCTGTCAATGTTGTGATCGCAGAGAGCAAGGAAAGGCCACATCACACTACACATGAGAGTTGTCATTGCACGGAGACACTGAAGTATGGACAGGATTTCACAGGGGGAGGTGAGGAGGTGAGACACGCAGAAGGTTCCCTGTGAGGAAGGGCTCCGAGGCAGGACAGCGCAGCAGGAGCATGGAACAGATAAGACAGGAGGAGAAGGAAGAGGAAAGTATTTAACATGCACCTCCTCTTGGGGCGCCTGGGTGGCTCAGTTGGTTTAACGTCTGCCTTGGGCTCAGGTCATGATCCCAGGATGCTGGGATCGAGCCCCACGTCAGGCTCCCTGCTCAGCGGGGAATCTGCTTCTGCCTCTGTCTCTCCCCCCACTAGTCATGGCGCAAGCGTGCTCTCTCTCTCTCTCAAATACATAAATAAAATCTTAAAAAAAAACCATGCACCTCCTCTGTTTCTACGTCTGATACATGCCCCTCCATAATGTCATGGCTGCTCCTAAATCACAAGCTCAAGTGAAGTCATGGTTTTCTTCCCATGGTGCTCACGGCTGGGGCCCAGAAGATTCAGAGGGAGGAACACGTGCACATAAGGGATGGAAAAGAAGGACAACACTTTACCCTCAATAGAGAGAGGGAGGAAGATAATTTCCCCAACGTATTTGTATCCAGTAGAATATTCTCTGGGAGAAGGAATTTCAGAGGTTAATTCTGCAAAGGGGACTTGAGGAGTAAGAGCCTTGGAATGGGATTAGGGAAGCGATGAATGCAGTCAGTAGCAGATCAATGAAAAGCGAAGAGGCCTGCACATGTTTTGGATAATTGTGAGTAATCTTATTTGTTACTCAAGACCATTTTGATGGGCTTATATCACCCAGAAGCTGAGAGAAGCAGCATGCCCAGAGTCAGTGAATGAGTCAGGGTGGCCTACAGCTTCACCAATCAACCCATAAAGCTTATTGCCCTCCTTGTTAAATTGTCCAAAATGAACATTCCTGGGAAGATTAAAAAAATTGCATTCATCTATGTAAGGAGGGGGAGGTGCTGAGGGCTAAACTGTATAATTCTGGGCAAAGAGCACAGATAAGAGGGCTTCTGTCCTCGCCTGTGGTGGAGATCTCGTTGAGCATCCTGTCACAGAATTATGAACTCACAAAAGGCCATGAGGAGAACCGAGGTCACAGACCCATACCCCACGTCCTGGGACCTGTGGCCTCCATGTGGCCTCAGTAAGTATCACGAGATGCTCTATTGAGGCAAACTAGCCAGTGATCCAAAGTCAGTAGACAGGCGAGCAGAGAGGGAAGCCCAGAGCTTCCAGAGAAACAATGCGCTAGTGAAGTCCCAAGTAATTCTCTATCGTACGTGGTCTCTTCTCGCTGCCCACGGCAGTCAAGTGGATGTTCAGTAAACACTCATTTCTGGAAGGTTCACTGACCGTGCGATGCCCTTTGAACCTGGTGGAGCTTCGGGTTTCTTATCTGTAAAATGGGACCAATAATGGACACTGCACTTCGCTTCCTGGGTTTGTGTTAAATGAGACAATTCACATGAGTTTTCTTCATAAACTCTCAGGCACCAATGCAAACTATATTCACTTTCTCCGAAAGACACAAGCCCAAAATATCAGCATGTGAATGATTTTTTACTGGTTGGAAATGAAAGGAAGGTCAAAACGGTTACTTAAGTATACTGCCAAGAACACAAGAGATAGTAAAATTAAAAAACAAAAACAAAGCATTTGCCATGAGAAAAAGCATTAACCTATGGTAATCTCTTTTTTATCATCTGCTTTCCACACTCTATTCCAAGCTGGAGGTAGTTAGTGCTCTGAGGAAGCAGATGGATGTCGGTGAATATCTGACTTGCCCACAACAAATTACGCAGCTTTATGGTGCTTTAAATCATCCCAAAGATAAAAATCAAAAACAAAGTTTTGGAGCTTGTCAAAACTAGTCTAATTAAAGCAGCCAATGTGCTAGCTGGCAAATGAGTTTGCGCATTGAGAGAACTCAGGCATGGCTGGCTGCAAGGCATGCTGGAAGCCTGTCGACATGGGCTGGAAGGACAAAGAGGGTTTCCAGGGGGTCCAAAGTGTAGGGTTCAGGGCCATACTGGGCCTGACAATCAAGGCTCAAGAAAGTCCAAGCTTGTGGGGGGCGGCAGGAGGGAGAGAATGAGCAGTTCCTTTGGGCAGAAGACCCCCGCCACTTATCGGAAGCCCCGGTTACGGGCTGCAGGGCTGAGAACACAGGCGTGAGTCACACAGTTTCTGTGTAGCCAACAAACTAATGGGCCAGGAGGGAAGACAAAAACATAAGCAGAGCATTTTGACGCAATAATAACCTACACCATTTATCGATTCTCTGCTTGGTGCTGGTGTGCTGGGCAGCCTTCCGTTGTCTCTCACCACTAAACTCACCGTCTGCCCCCAGAGCCTGCCGATCCCCTGCCCCGCCTGCATCTCTTGCCTCCTGGAAATGACATTTATGGAACAATCAGCACAGGCCAGGCATATTGAGAAGGATTTTATCTAAATTAAGCTCAGGGGCCGCATGAGTACAAGGCTGGCCCCCAGAAGCCATGTTTTTTATCGCCTGGCCTGACGTTACTGGCAACAGATAATTGGAGTGAATACTCCACTCAGAACGGGCTGATGATAATGCTCTTCCTGGGAATTAGGATCTGAGTCAGCTCTCTGCCCGAGAGAGGGGATGAAGAAATTAGAGACAGGGTCCCTGCTGCCGAGCGCGGTGAGGGAGACTGACAGGTAAACAGAATGCTCTGTGCACCGAAGGGGGACTTGCAACCTGGATGCAGCCTGCATCCTGGAAAAGCCAGGGATCCTGGCTCGGGGACCTGAGTGGGAGACAGGAGTCCCATGTCGGAGCCTTGGCAATGCTTTTGAGCCTTGTGTGAGGAATACGAGTGTACTTGTCCAAGAGGGAAGGGATGTTGAGGCAGAGGGATCAGCATTCACAATGGCAGGTGGATAATAGACTGTAGGGAGAGTTCACAGAATTGCTAGTCATTTGATTTGGCTGGAGTGTAACAAGAGGGTGTGCTGGGACGACATCAGGGACAGGAGTGTAAGAAGTTAAGTGTGGTGGGTAAGCACCCAGCCTCCCTTCTGACCGACCATTTTGAATCCCCGTTTACAATCTAGGTGGGTGATGCATTAGTTAGGACTCCTGCTTGCAAAAAAAGAGACTTACTTAAACGGTTTAACCAAGCAGGAATGTTTGTTCTTCAGTGGCAGGCGTACGCCATGGATCCCCAAGGAGGGATCTAGCTGGGCCTCTGGTAGGAGCCCGGGACCAGGGTTTGTAGAACTGTAAAAGTGTAAAGGTCTGCTTCCCCCTGCACGTCTGCTTCTCAGTCCTCAAGGCCACCAACAACTCCTGAGTTTTTATCTTCTCTGTTCGAAGACCAGACAGCGTAGGGCAAAATTAGCAGATTCAGATCCAAATTCCCAGGAAAAGCCTTATCATCAGCCCGTTCTGAGTGAAGTATTCACTCCAATCATCTGTTCATGGTACCATCGTTCATGGTACTGGAAGAATGCGTAGAGCAGAAAAAATGGTAATTTTAATTGTTTACTCACACAAAAAGTGTGAGTTCCTTGTGTTCCTGCTCAGTGTGAGGTTGGAACCCGTCACAGTGGGGGAAAACCTGACCAGAAACCAGAAGGTAGAAACTGGGTTTGTTTGGATAAATCTCGTACCATCGAGGGGTAACAGGATTGGGAAGAATTTCCAAGAGCAGGAAGCGTG